TGAAACAGTTCTTTTAACTGTGATGGCACCTATAATACTATAGTTTACATTTTCTGTGTCTTTGTTCATGTAATATTATACAAAGAACCAAGAATATATCAGAATTTCACATACTTTACAACTAAGTACAATTCTAAACACTAGAAAGACCCTTCAAACAAGCAATGCAAGCCATTACATCCAAAGCTATTTATGACTCCACAGGGGACCAAGCTCCGGGTGAATAAATATGTACTGAGGTCTAGATTCCGAATAACTATGCTTCTCCAAAAATGTAAGCCATTTAAAACTTATGAAAATGTATAATTCAACTGTTCTGAAAGCAGATAATCAGAGAAGAGGGAGAAGGATATTTATAAAGGAGAAAGAGTGAGAAGCTGAATAAGAACTAATGAAACAGTAGCTAATGAATCAGTAGCTAAATCCTCACCTTGCAAGTAGTGGGATCTCATATGGGCACTGAGTTGTCATATCTGCTCCACTTCCCATCCAGCTCCCTGCCATTTCCTGGGAAAGCAAAGGAGTATGGCCCAAAGGCTTCGAATCCTGCACCTTCATGGGAGACTCGGAAGAAGCTCCTGGCTCCTGGTTTCAGATTGGCTCAACTCTGGCTATTATGACCACAAATGTTTCTCTCTGTCTCTCTTTCTCTCTGTAAATCTGCCTTTCTGTCAGCTTCAGAGAAGAGGAGAGGGGAGGAAGGGAGGGGAGAAGAATGAATAAAGAAAAAGAAAAAAGAGAGAGGGGGAGGGAGGAAGGAAAGAAGGGAAGAAGAAAAGAAATAATGAGAGATAAAGGAATCTGTTGATATTCTGCCAACTCGCCAGGATAATACCACAACCTGCAGTGTATCCTATCCCAACATTCAGTGTGAAAATGTAGGTTTCTAAAAGCTGAACAAGAAAAGTATCAGACTTTTTCAGCTGAACAGAGTTCACTGTTCCTCAACACAAAACTCTGGCATGAGAACAGAGATGCTTTTAGTTGTCAAATAGATTTAACTGGAGGAGAAATGAGCAATGGAATGGAGCTCAGTTGATTCAGAGCCAGACTATAGCAAAGAACTCATCAAGTGTAACGCTCACAATCTCTGGATCCTCTTGATTTCTCTCAATTGCCAGTGTGAAGACTTGCAAACAGCCATGGGTTATTTGAGAACTGTTTGTCAATTGTATTTCCTCCTTTTTGTGAAGATCTTTGAAGGATCCGAGATTTTATCCTACTTAGACAGTCTGCAATAGTTTGATGGATGAATGAAGAAGGCATGGAATTCCTGAGTTTGACACAACGGATTCTCCACATAAATCCCCAGGTTACAGCAGGGTGACAGAATTGTGCCCACATGGATTCCTACACAGGTAGTTGGTTTTGTTAAAGAGCAGGTATATTGATGTTAAGCAATTCAAATATTTTCTAAAGGGCAGGACCATGTCAACTTACTGCTCAGGGGGAAGGTTTTTGTCCTAGCTATTCCATTCCCCATTCAGCTCCCTGCTTGTGGCCTGGGAAAGCAGTAGAGGACCGCCCAAGGCTTGAGATTCTACACCTACATGAGAGACTTTGAGGAAGCTCCTGGCTCCTGGCTTCAGATCAGCTCAGCTCCAGCTACTGTGATCACTTGAGAAGTGAACCAGCGGATAGAAGAATTTCCTCTGTTGCTCCTCTCTTTATAAGTCTAGCTTGCCAATAAAAAATAAATCTTAAAAAAATAAAAAAGCAGAAATGAAATAACAAATTCTCTAGTTATAAATTATTTTTGATCTTCCAGGTCATTGGCACACTGTTCAATGATTTTTTAACAGTTATCTATCTTCTAGTAGAATAGGATAATTGACCAAACTTTCAGTGACTGTACAAAGTTCTCACAATCACTAGAGAACTGCCTGTTTTTAGGAAAGAGTATAGTTTTCTTTGTATTATTGGAATGAATTCAGAAGTGATCTTCAAAGACGTTACATTTGGATTAAAATAACATAAAACCATTTCAAATCATGTTAATATTTTAAGTAAATCTAAAAAATGCTCATACAAAACAAAGGCAAAATATTTTCAGTTTATGGCAATCTTTCTACCATATCCAGTGGCTCCCCCTTTATTAGTGTTTAATTTTCTGATTATGCTGATGACACCTGCCTTCATTGTGAGTTGTAATTAGATGTTACAACTCAACTGCTAAGACAGAATGTATCCCAAAGGGAAGTCAACCAGATCATTAGTGGAGGCAAAGCAAGCTAATTATCACCACAAAGTTCAAATGAAAGAATTGATCTAAATATCTAGCAGACTCTATTTGGGCCAAACCCCTTGTGCTTAGTGAATTAGCACCATGTAGTCATCATAGTATATTAAAAGGAACTTTCGCGTAACAAAAAATAAACTGCATAAAAATATGTATAGAGGGAAAATACCTTCCAGAGAATTAATTATAAAACAAAGAATATGGAAGTCTAAATGCAAAGCTGAGGCAACCAGTCTCAGGTGAACAGCAATCCTTTGATTCTTACTCTGGAACTTCTGAAATGTGAGAGGGTACTACAGCAACTTCCTTTTCTGCAGCTATGGAAAATTGTTTCTCCTCTCCTCCTCTCCTCCTTCTCTTCCAGGAAGAAGAGAAGTAACTGCATCTTGAATAGCTTAGTGTTACATTTGACAAGAGAACTAAGAGGCTTAAGGAAAGACAGAGAAATGAACTATTTTGGTGGACTTAAAACATATCCATGATCTATTTTCATTCCCAGTAGCATTGTCAAAACATTATATTCAGTATATGATCTCCTCTGTTATCCAGCAGCTGATACCCAAATAAACTAACAGAATGCCACTTGATTGTAATTTGGTGTTACAAAAATATTTCAATGCTTGAATACACTACAGTAATGAGATCCCATTTTTTTCTAAATGCTTAATACTATAGGGAATCCTAACAGAACATGGAACTTTCAAGGCTCCAAAATATACAACATAATTATGTTGATTACATATCACTTAGCTGGTGTCTTTATTTTGGAACTGTATCACTTATTTCCACTTTATCTCCTTTGGAAGATGGTCAAACTTCAGCCTTACTCACAGGATAACCTGCATTGTACACTTGTTTGGAATCCTGCTTTGCAGCTGGCACAGAAGGTGGAGGTCATATTAGGGAAAGGGAGGAACAAGAGGCAGTTTCCATACTACAAGTTTAAGAGCAAAGAGAAAAAAAAAATCTGGAATTGAATTATTCCATTGTTTAAGATAATCTGTGATCCTGCTTATATAAATGCATATGTTCATTTCATCAAAATCATTTTCCTTAAATTGGCAATTGATATAATATAAATAATCCACATTCAACAAGACCCAGAATATTTTACAGCATTTTGTCTTTTATATTAACACCCAAAGGCATTTTTTTCAGATGAAAAAATCCATTTGTCCTTATCAATAAGTGACTTAAAGAAGTCTCTGGTTATTGGCATGATACATTTCTATTTTATCATATCTCCAACTAGAACCTCATTTGTAGCTTGACTGCTCACCACCATGTAGGAGGCAAAAACAGTCCTCTGAGTCCCTCATATTTTACAGATAATGAAGTTCAGACTTAGACAGGGACCTCCTTCCCAGGTCTACTCTGACTCCAACTTCTAGAACCTTTGATTTTCATAGTCTAATCCCAATACTCCTATGAATTACAAGAACAGGTTGAAGGGGAACATATTGTGAGCTAAATAATCTCTCAGAAGCTCCACCTGCCTTTCTTTATAATAAAAATTGAAAGGTTAAATACTGTTTTAGTTGGTTCATCTCTGAAATATAGGTACAGAGCAGTCAAAAAATGAAATTAAAACTAATGATAATGATACGAATAAATCATTGCATAACAAAAAAGTTTCCATACAGAGTAATTCTGAAGCTGTGAAATTGGATAGCGGAAATGAAGAGATCATAAATTCTACATGAACCCCTGTCACTAAAGATCATAAGAAGAGATTTGATAATAATATAGTCTTTGATTACAGACATGCAGAGAACTTTTAAAAAGTAAAAAATGCAGAGCATACTCCATTCCAATGAATATGAGGCTATGTTTACCAAAATTCCTCCAGAAAATGCCTTCATATTACCCTAGACATGGGAGAAAAGGGAGAAAATGTAAAGCATCCAAATGCATTTCCCACAAAAAGCCATCAACTGCACTTATTTGGCATAAGAATACCAAGAGATTTGTATGTTTTATTATTACCAATAGGAAATATTTTATTCTGTACATACATTATCTTATTTCATTTGGCTTCCATTGGTTGTTTTTAACTGAAAAAAGGAAAAAAAAAATCCCAAATTTAAATAGGTAAGAAATATTTCCAAATTTTAAATGGCAAAGTTCATAGACTGTACTAATATAGTATGTCATGCAACCCCCATCCTGATCAATACTTTAACAAGTCATGTATCTTTCACTTAAAATCAGAAGTCAAATGATGGACTTGTTTACAATTTGCTTCTGTTAATGCACAGATGGGGAAAGTTTGGGAATCTGGTTCTTGTCTAACAGATACTTTTCTGCATTGTTTTACATGCACTATTTTCAACATAGAGGATATGAGCAAAAATCTTGTTATAAAGAGCCCTTTTATTGTGAACAGCCCATATGCGGGATGTTTGCTTAATTTTGCACACTAGGAATCAGAGGGCCAATGACCATCCTGCCCAACACTGGTCAGAATTAAACACATGGCAGCTGGCCAACTACAACAGCTTGAATAAGGTTTGATGTAGCAGTGTCTATTATTGTATTCAGACATAGGATGACAGTTTCAGTTTGTGAAGCTTTCTGGAAAATACAAAAAGCATCTAAGCATAAAGTCTTACCAGTATCTCCCTTTTAGGTGAGAAGAGAAGCAGAGACTTTAAAACTGTTAATGGTAGAACGCATCATTCAAAACACTCTTTGCAAAGCCATCCATGAATGATGAGTAATGTTTCATGTTCTTTCTGTGCATTCTCTACTTTATTCCTAGATCACTTGAAAGATAAGTTAGAAGAATACATGGCCCGGTTTTCCAAAGTCAGGATTGTTCGCACCAAGAAAAGAGAAGGACTCATTCGGACCCGACTCTTGGGGGCATCAATGGCAAGAGGAGAAGTCCTGACGTTCTTAGACTCCCACTGCGAGGTCAACGTGAACTGGCTGCCCCCACTCCTAAGTGAGTATACACCAGCAAAACAGCATCCTTGGAGACAGGGAGCTGGGAGAACTTTGGGCCTCATAGTGGATGTGGCTTGTTTTAGTTTAGTTTGCAATCAACAAGAGCTAGAGGCCTCTTCTAAAATTTTTACATTGTGAGCCTTGAATTCTGCCTTAACCACTGCTGACGATAAACAGGTTACTACAAAGTTAGATTAAAATTGATATTTTTTTTTTACCATATCAGCTACAATCTTAATTGAGGTTTTAAACGGGTTCATCTCTTAGATGTCCTCTTTTATTGTAGTTACAATCACTGAGCAAACACTAAAAGGAAAGGTAGGACAAAATGTTTTTATTACCATCCTGTATCTATAAAAAAGATTAAAATACACACACTTTAAAAATATTATAGAATTGTTATATAAGGAAGAAAGGAAGTGATTTAGCCCCAGAATGCAGCTGAAGTATAGCACTTTTACATTGTCCAGGAAAGGAAGTATTATTGCTTTTTTATTCTTTCTGCTTTACTTGTATATATTGGAAAATATAATAACTCCCATACTGCACAAAGGCCCTCAAATGCCACAAACTGCTATGCAGTTAATATGTCTTTAATGCTAACAGTGAATGAATAAGGGAAGGGAATGAAGAAAATTAAGTTACTACACTTGAACTGCCACAAACAGGAAAGCAACTCAAGCTGGAAAATATACATGTGGCTCAATTCAAGATTCTCCATTTTTGTTATAAGTCAGATACCTTAGTCAAGTTCAGTTGCAGATAAGAGAGAAATTGCAAGCTGAACAAGTTTTCTTTTAATAAAATATACATGATGTATACATACTGTACATCTTCCTATTCTTCCAGAATCAACTTTTACTGTCAATCCATTCCTGGCCTTAGAACTAAGGCCTTTAGCAACCTGCCTCCACAATAGGTGTCTCAAATGCAATGATTTCCTATTGATCGCTGTGCAGGATTTCAGTTTAACCAGGAAAGTTCTATTAGTAAAAGGCGTGGGGGGAAAGCACTTAAAAAATGTATAGGATTTAAAACAGAAGACAATGAGCAACAGTCTGACCAAATCACCCAATCCACACACTTAACCCCACACAGACACCCAGTTGCCCTAATCAACAGAAATCCGTCAGTATTCCTACAAGCAGAGACTCCTCTGAGCTTTTAATTAAAAGTACCTTGTGCAAGGACAGAGCAATTTAGAGCTTCATCAGCAACACTGAGATTCCCTCAAACTCAATCTGACCTATATGGTGTTGAATATTCAAAGAAGTCAGCAAAAGGACTAATTTATTTATTAGCCAAGAAAAAAAAAAATCCCTGAACATCAATTTTTCAAATCTCTGTTGACTATGACTCGCAAAAAAAGAAAAAGAAGAAACACTGGAGAGAAGACAGGAAAGAGAAGAAGAAAAAACCATGCCCCATTTTTTTTTCTCATTAAAGAATTTCATTTCCTGGAGACCTGATGGATAAGAAATAATGCAAGCTTCGGATCACTATCTGTTTTATTTTCCTCTATCAGTGTCTTGACACAGCATCCAAAATGAAAAAAAAAAAAAAAAAGGTGGAGCCAGTTTCCTGATTTATTTTTCACCTAGGGAATATACCTGAATGTCAATTTCCCATTAGGAGTCTATTTGATCCTTGGAAATTGGAATGTAGGCAAAAGCCTTGGATGAAAATTTAGTCATTCTGCTTTTACCCTAACTTAGCACAAATGGACGAGTGCTAAAGGGGAATTTGAAGAAAAAGCTGACAGCTAATTTAACAGGCTCATTCTTTTTGCATCACCTTGGGATTCCTTGTTGGTCAAAGAACTTGGAAATCAAGCTGATTCTGAAGTTGATTGAAGATAGTCACTGAAACCTTAATGCTAAAATACCTGCAGAAGTGATCAAAGTATTCTAGTCTTTTCTGTCAGACTCATTTCTGGGGAGACACCTTCTAGTTGAAGGTGAAAGTCAGTTGTAAGGCTTGCTCAGGTGAAAACAGAGCCCTTGGTGCAGATGAACTTGAAAACAGTGTTATGAGTTCCTGATTCTACTCAGTAGCTGAAATCAGATAAAGCAACCTGCAGGCTTGCTGAGATTTATTTGTCCCGGGCTGTCAAAAATCACCACCTTTTCTAGATGTTAGCATTGTGCACTCCTCCCGTTCTGTTTTGTTTCTATTTCATGTATCACTTCCTGAAACATCACATAATTTAATTATTTATTATGTTTGTTGTCATGGTTGCATTTTTGAAGTTAGGAGTTCTTGGGGTATTATTTACTGCTGCATTCTTACAATCTAGAAACGTGCCTCACACAGTGATTTCTGCTGAATAAGTAACTGCTGGGATGTGAAAGAAAATGAATGAGTGAATTAAGAGGTGTGCAGATTCAGAGGAGAGGACTTTACAAGATTCTATAATTTCTACAGTCTTTTAACTCCTGCCCCACACTTAGGAGGAGTATCATATGGAAATCACCAAACCACATAACATTTCTAAGTGATCTCCTTCATTTTTTTGTTTAATGACACACCACATCCAAAGATTTTTCAGATAACAAGAGAACAGATGATCACATCTAAACATTCTAACTGTCGGACAATGTTAGTTATGATAATGTTGATTAAATGTCCGTACTTGTAAAGAAAGACACTTCACACTTAACTTTTCTAGGTAGGCATGCAAACTGTCATTTCCCTACGCTGGCTGTTAATGCCATTGTTCTGACAATACTAGGAAAGAAAGGTATCAGAAGCAAAGAAAATAAAACCATCACTATGGACCATGTAAACCTGAAAGCCCCAGTCTGGGAACCAGACTTTACACAGGGGTTGATGCTCTTTACTGCACTGAAAAGTTGACTGACATTTGACAAGTTCACAACTTGTCTGACCTCGGGTTCCTAAGGCCTGAAGTGGGAAGTGCAATTACATGTAGCCTTAAATGATTTCTAGGAGTGTTAGTAAGAACATGGTATAAATCACTTAATATTAATCAAGAACATAATATTAGAAGAGTAACAGTAGTATCATACCACTTGTTGTATTTTTATGCAACGAAATAAGTTAAACATGTATGGCTTGAATAGTCATCAGTCTACTGATGACTTAACAGTAAAATAGGGATTGGCAAAATCTCTGGCAAATCTAAGAGCAAAGAACTGTATGTACATGAGCTGTCAGCATTTAGGGAGTAACACTCATCGTGACTGTCATAAGATTAGATGCTACTGAAATCATAAAGTTAAATATTTACATTTTGGAACCTCCAGAAAGCAGCCCAGTATTTTCTCAGCAGGCTATGGCTCTATGCTTGAAGAAACACAAGTGCTGTTTATACTCTCTGCATGTTAGATGCATGATAAAATGACAGATTGGGGACAGGTCAAAGCCAAAATGTGACAGAGGTAGAGCTAAATGGACTTCTGCGAGTCTCTCTGGGACATAAGTTTCTTAAAGGAAAATACAACATCTCTAATTGTACCTAATCGCTGTCCCATCATGTTAAGGCTGGTATTCGAACAGAAGTTCCTACAAAGTGCTCTAATGAATCCAGGCTGCAAGCTTGCACACGAGTAAGTTTCTGTAGGCTTCTTTGCTACAAAATGATAGATGACTTAGGCAGGCATGTCATTTCCTATTTTGTGCTTTCATTTTTCAGACCAAATTGCACTAAACCACAAAACCATCGTGTGTCCCATGATCGATGTCATTGACCACAATCACTTTGGGTATGAGGCACAAGCTGGGGATGCCATGCGAGGAGCCTTCGACTGGGAAATGTACTACAAAAGAATCCCCATCCCTCCAGAGCTCCAGAGGGCAGATCCCAGCGACCCTTTTGAGTGAGTAGCAGCTGAGGGAGGGGCCAAGGGAGAGAGGGCAGATAATTCATTCCAGGCGGGTCAGACCTGGGACCCATAAGGGCAGTTACTTCTAATAAAATTGGAAAAAAAGAAAAAAACAGGCAGCAGTAATATGCAAAACACTAAGGCAAGGTCAGACTTACAAGCTGTAAAAAATTACAAGCTTCACTGAATAGTAGCTCATCCCTTCTCCAGCTTTGCTCTAAGCAAGAAAGTGGCAGATAGAATAACCAGGAAAATCCACATAATTAACAGAAAATGCATGGGGAAAGAATGCATGCTCTCATTCTAGAATTTTGCTTAATTTTAGTACTCTCTATTCTTTTTACTCAAAGACTATTAAAATATTTCATTTTTCATTTTGGTGGGATTGATTACAAAACATGAAACAATCTCTAAGCCTACATGCTTCTTGTTGGGAATTGTCTGCTTATTAAATAAGTCAGTGATTCTGAGATGCACTCATAACTTAAAATTTAAAATTAGGGAATTAAATCAAAATGATAAATGATATATCTAAAGAAATCACCTTCCATAGCCCTGCCGCTAAATGAAATACCGTATAAATAATTTATAATAGTAATCTATTGATGAAGTCCCATAAAATTAGGTCCTTTTCTACAATGTGGCCGTAAGAGTTGTGAAGTTTAAGAAAGACAGAAGAAATATGACTTGGTTTAACATTCAGGACAATTAAGAGCAAATGATAAACTCTGGCAGCCACTTATTTCCTGAGTCATACCTTCATATTGATTCTCCATATTTTGATCTATTAAGATGCCCTTCGATCTCATTAAAACTATTGTAATTTTAAAACTATTATATTTTTTTTGACTACAAGAAACATTTCTGTGGTCAAAGTTTTTCACAAGCATCTGATAAAATGTCAGAGAGGTCCTCCATTCCCTAAAACTGAGCCCTTGGTTGGATATCCAGACCTTCAGGTGTCTGGGCTGCTAGAAGCTCCTCACACCACTGCAGAGCCCTTTGAATAGAAAGAATGAAGAACCTCATTACTCCCTGCAAATATGTAAGCCAAAATGCCATGAATATTCTAATCTGCTAGGAAAATGATCTTGGTAAGTAGCATGCACTTGAAGCAGACCAGCTGAGAGATACTCTTCGGACCACTCTCGTGGCAAACTTAGGAAGCCTTGGCAAAGGTAAGGTGAGACAAAGCTTAAATGTGGAAGGTAATATCTATGTGAGTTAGCTTGATTTAGTTAGTCCACACTGTATTTATATTCCAGCACTTACTTTGAGTTATACATTACAAATATATAAATTTTACATGCATCATAAGAGGAGAAAAATAGAGGGGGGGGAACCAAAAATGGCCCTGAACACAGTATAACTGTTGTTTCACAGTGACTGAAAACTAAATAGCGATGGTTCACATTTGCAGGGCTGGAATTCATCAATGAAACATTCACAAATACTGGACTAGTGACTGATTAAAATGACCTTTTACTTTGCTTCACTCTGACAGCAGAGTGGAGCTTCTGCTTTCTAAATCAGTGAGATCAAAATGCTACCAAAGGAATCTCCAACGGTAAAAATTACAAAATGTCTTCCTATGCCTGAGTCGATCATGCAAATTTTGTCATGTAGACCCTGGCTATGGTCACCACAATATCAAGCAACGTGCTTAATCGTGGAGCTGGCAGAATTGGTAACTTTCAGAATTAGATTACCTCTTGTTCCTGTCACCGACTTAGGCAATTGCCTAAAGTTGTATTCCTCTATTTAATGTGACTGTCTTTCTGCTTTAAGGCCCTTTGATTCCTAGGAATGTGGCTACTTTAGCTTTTTGTAACAATTATAACTTCAAGGAGGTATCCTCTTTGATCTGAAAAGCTTCATTTGCCTTCCTTAGAATAAAATAGTTACCCAAGCAGCTATGAACAGTGCATGAGTATAAAGCAAGTCTATTATCACAGCAGGCACCTGAAATTACTCGCAAATATACCTGCTCTGGGTTAAAACTTGCTCCTCTGGATTTAAAGCATCAAGATACACAGAACAAATGCAGTCTGTCTGTATATCTTTCTCACAGGCTTTCATGTTTTGAAAGACTGCTGCCAGGAAATGCGGTTTTCTGTGGGAAGAAGGGGCAAGGAGGCTAAAAAGACTGCAAGGAAAATAAGGAGATGTTCAAATGTAATGCAAGCTTCAAACGATTTTCTGCACCACACATGCAAAAACTATGTTTCTGTGGCAAGGTTATCAAATGTTTCAAAATGACAAGATCTGGATTCTGTTATTATTTTTGCCATTAAGTTTTCAGTGGCTGTGATCCACAGCAGTTTTTCAGTTGAAAATCCTCTGAAATTCCATGCACAGTATTTAATTATTATTGCACTGAACTGAATTAAGTAAAAAAAAAATTCAGGATATTATATGAACCCGTGTTATTTGCCAAATATTCTACTATCTCAATTACAATGCATATTATGATCCTACAATGGCCTAAATTGTATTTCTTATTATAGTTTATAAGATCAAAAGAGTTCAAAGTCTATCAACTTCCAAACCTCAGAATAAAGGCACTGCATAACCTGACCAGAAAAGGAAAACTCATTAATAACTTGAAAACTAAGAAAATGTTTACTATTATTCTCAAATTAATCTACTTATTACACAAAGTGTTGTTAGAATATGAGATGAAATGCAATAAATGTGATTAGAATTGTTACATGGCAGTCATCATTGTGATTGCATTCAATTGGACATTTATGAGGAATAGTTTCCCCTTTTCTGGTGGCTTCTATCGTGAAGTAATACTCTAAGGAGATCCTTGACATCCTTGACTATTGGAAGGTTACCACATTCCTGGTTCACTTTGAGAACAGAGCACCCAGAAATATTAACCTGTTCTGTGCTACAAAATCTGCTTCCTAAACCTGGATAACAAATGGGAATATGTTTGTACTTCGACTGCAGACTTAATTCTTTAATCTTACCTCAATTTCTAAAAGTTTACAAAGAACCAGAACAATTGGTCTCGCCCAACTTCCTTTCAACGCAAGTAACCTCTATGTGACACCCTGGACCACTGACCAGACACCGTATGCACTCACGACCCAGTACATTTGCTACTTGAAAAGACAACCAATCCATGCATTAGACTTATTGACAATAATCTTTTTCCTTGTTTTGAGAAAATTCTGCCTTTCTAATCTCAAATTGTCCTGGCTGTGTACCAAGAATATCTACTTCTTCCTGAATTGGAGAGCTATTAAAAAAATCTTTGGAAACACCTGCCATACAATCCCTTTGGAGTGAAAATAATTTCTTTTGCTTTTCCAAATTAAGTATTTCCAGTTCTATCTCCATGTTTTCTGTGTCCTTCCGAACTCTGTTAAAGTTCTTGCTCATTGATATTAACTGATCAATATATGTAAATTCACCCAATTAAACAATCTCACATACATTTCTCCTGCCTGTTCAGAAGGATAGCATAAGATAATCGATTCAATAGACAAATCCTCAGGGCCTGATAAATGACTCTAACAACCATACCACAGTTCATTTGTAGTGCAATTTTCACTGGCTCCTAGAGTTCCTGCTTTCTCCCAAGTATTCACAATCATTTCAATCATTCAATTAGACATATCTGCAGTACTTTTCAGAATCTACCTCTACCACTGTTTAATTATTTCAAAGCACTTGTATTTCAATCATTGTACAGAAGAGTCTTGTACACAACCATTACTGAGAGCTGATATTCTTCATGTCCATAAATATATACACACATACAAATGTCCTATAAATCTATTATCTCAGAGGTCCCTTTGACCATTAACACATTCCTTTGAATTCACTAACTGCTTATTCAAGGCAGTATTTATCCTAGAAGAACACCAAACGTTCAAAAGCAATGGCTGTGACCTGTTGCCAAAGACCTCATGGTTGGCACTTCAAAGATGGAAACTCCCTTGGGGGCTTAAGGTCTGCCTCTGGAATCCTTAACAACTGATTCCGTAATCCAGAAGCATAAAGCACAGCCTGTGTTAGAATGGATGAAATTCTAACTTTGTTACAGAGGTCACAGCACTGCTGCAAGAAAATAAAATGGAAATTTACTTACAGTATTCCTTTAGTCTTCCATGGGAGAGAATGCAAAACGTTCCAACTCCCTTATATGACAATGAGAAAGTATTGTGTAAAAGTTCGTTTCCCAAGTAAAAAAAAAAAAAAAACAAAAAAACCTTAATTTCTTAACCCTAGGCTTAGAATTTGAAAATCTAAACAATCAAAAATTTATCAAACTAGAACAAACATTAGATGCAATCCAATTGCTCATATTTTTAAAGGAAATCTAGGCTCTAGAACCTAAGTGATGTACCCAATGTCACAACTAACACCTCCACTAGCAACCAGCAGGATTTGGGTTTGCTAACTCACCATTCCTGCTACTCTGTGGCATCATGGTTGGATGAAGAATCAATGGTTTGGTGTCTATTGTTATGCACAAGGCAGTTAAACTAGGAAATTTACATGTATGCCTAATCCATTTAACCTTTTTTCAAGCCAATAAAATAAGTAAAGCTGTCTGGACTTTTCACGAATGAGGTGATTCAGGTTCATAGAGGTTAAGCAGTTTTCCAGAGCTCATCCAGGGCGTTTTGTTTTGTTCTTTTTTTGTTTTGTGTCACAAAAATAAAATGATTTTAAGAGTCATTCTGGGACTTCCTCTTGTAAATAGATTGTGTATGCACAATTGTGCCCAGTGGAGATCCTGAGGGGTCTGGCCAAAGCTAGCCTTCTGTTCAAAGTCATGGACCCAAGCTTGGGTTAGGAAACCTGTAGGAAAAGGAATTCGTTTACTTGAGGGGCATGGAAGCTTCACTTCGCTAATGTAGAGAAATAAGAACAGACTGAAGATCAGTGGACTTAAATGCTTACAGTGAACCGCTGTCCTTTGTCAGCTCCCTGTTGATTGTATTAATTTACTTAAGAATTTTTCTACAACATGC